TTTGTTTGTTTTTGAGATAGAGGTTCACTCTTGTTGCCCAGGCTGGAGAGCAATGGCATGATCTCGGTAATTAGCTCACTTTGATTACAGGTATAGGAGAATAAAGTTTTTATTATACCAAATAAATTGGTATAATATTATACCAAAAAGTACAACATTATAAAAAGAGTAACATTGTACCAAAAAGCCTCCTACAAGAACTTTTTTTTACTCTGAGCTATGTGAACTGTAAAGTAACAGTGGGATGGCAAGAACCAGCTTACAAAATCAATTCCTATCAAGTGTTTTTCATAGAAAGATGATAATTTTAGGTTGCTAACATCATATATTTCCAATCTTAATGAGAAAAAATTACTCTGATGATATTGAAGTATTCTGACAAAGAATTGCTGATGGCATTTAGTGAGCTACTGAATAAGAGAAACCAAAACTGTATAAATTAGATGTATTTTCCAAAAATAAGATGACTGTGCAGAAAACTCAAGATTCAGGAAAATAGATATAACAGCCTGGGTATTACTAAGCTCTAATGATAGTTATTGCATTATTGCGAAGATTTGATGATATGGCCCACTGTTCACCTGAAACCACCAAACATAGTATGTTTCATATCTCAGTTTTCAGTCACAGAGCATTTCCAGAGTGTATTTCTGTTCAGCTGTGTTACAGTATTATGGTATCCTTCACACTGCACTTACAAAATCTATAAATAAAAGCAAGGGCATCACAGGGCATCATTTCTCATAAAATGAACAAATCACCAATATTTGAATGCCTTAGAGTGTTCCTCAAAATTAACAAATATGGCAGTAACCCTAAATACACATTTTTGTGTGCACTGCCTTATACTGATTTTGAAAGCATATTTGCCATTTTTTATATATTCCTTACCTGTCAAGTTCTTTAATCCTAGTTCCTGAAGTCCAAAGTTTCCATCTTTTCTGTAGTTTAAAAATATTGCCAAGGCATATCGGTCCTCATAAAGTTTTGTCCCACGAATAATGCGTAAATTCTCCAGAGGCAGGTAACGAAACTGATTAAGAGCCACTAACACATAGCCTGTGACTTCTCGAACAGACTGAAAAGACACAAACAATTGCCTGTGTTATAAAACTAATTTGTCACTATGTATATGTAGCAATTTAGATTAAAATGAGTTATTAGACTCTAATTTTAAGTTTTTACCTTAATATATTATTTTCCATATCATATTCTAAATACTTGGCTTCATAATAAAAGATCATAAAGTGTTAGCATCTCATTTGAAGTCTAAGTTGTATTTCTTTTAAACATTTATGAATGTGCTTATAGTAAAATAATGCATGTTGTTTAGGAGACCTTCTTCATACCTGAGATTTGAATATAGTTAAATGAATAAAGGTCTTGCTTATCAACAGACTACAATAGGTTAAAGACACATGACCATCAATCACATTTTACATAAAAGAGCAAATTGGTGAGCATAAGTAAAACAAAGCCATGTTAGCTTGTACATTATTTAGGATAGATTTAAAATGGCTCTATTCATGTTTAGTGCTATATTTATCAAAGAACAATTGCCCTGAACATCTCTAGGGAACCCAAACATAAATAATATGTATTAAAAACTAATTGTTGTCTATAAACTTATTCCAACCACATTTTTATTTTTTACTGCCCACTGTTTAAATGTAGTTGTCTATAATCAGTTAGTTATTTGAAGGTCTGTGAGACATTTTAAAGCAAAATAGTGTTATGAAAAAAAGTCTGCATTTCACCTAAATGTTATATAGTTTTTCAATAAAATGATGATAAACAGGTGTCAGAATTTAAAAAAAACTAAAAATGATTCAAAAGTACTCAGGTATTTGCTATTATTTTAATACCAATTTCATGTTACTCTAACTAACCCTTTTCATTTCAGATGCTCCAAGGCTCAGTTTTTGGTACTTCCCACCCACTTCCCCCGTCGTGTATTCTCACCCCCTTGGTGATCTTACTTGGTTTCAAAGTTGGTGATCTCCAAACATTCATCTCTGTACTTTCCCCAGACTCCAGATTCATATCCCACTGTTAACTCAACATCATAATTTGGATGTCTAGTATACTTTTCAGATACACCTATCAACAGCTGAACTCTTTTCTTCCCCCACCCCTCCAGCAGCCTTCCTCATCTCAGTTGAGGTTATTCCATCTTTTCCGGCTTTCTGGCCAAAGATCCAGTCATCTTTCACTCTCCTCTGACACCCCAAGTGTGGTCCATACTATTTGTTCTACTTTCAGAATCATCGGAAATTCAGCTACTTCTTATGTCATCCATGGCTCCCATCTGAGCCACCATCATTCCTCATCTAGATTATTCCTCATCATCAGTAGGTCTCCCTGTGTCTATTCCTGATTCTTTATGGTGTATTCTCAATTCAGGCTAGCCAAGATATTTTAAAAACATAAATCAAATTATGACATTTCAACGCTTAAAACTCTGAAACATCTCCTAAGTCACTCATTATAACAGACAAAATCCTTTTACTGATATGTCAAAATATTTATGCTGTTCAGTGCAATAGCCACTAGCCATATGTTGCTACTGAGCAATTGAAGTGTAGCTGGCATAAATTTAGGTGTGATAGAAGTACAAAATACACTCTGGATTTTGGAGAGTATATGATGAAATGATAATATTTGAGATAAATTGAGTTAAATAAAATGTATTATTAAAGTTAATATCAGTTATTTCTTTTCACCTTCTTATTGTGGCAAAACAAACATGTTAAATTACATTTTTATGGCTCTTATAAATCTATTAGACGGAACTGCAGTATATGATCTAGTCATCAGTTCTCTTTCACATTAAAATTATAGTTCTACCTTAAAGTGTGCATTATGCACTTAAAAAACTGAGTTTCTCTTCATCTTGTTACTTTCTTGGCAAACTCCCCCACTATCTTCAAGTTTTTGCTTAAATATCACCTTCTCAGTTGAGGCCAACCCTGATAAACCTGTTAAACACTGTAGCCTCTACATCTTTACCTGCTTCAATTCTCATATTTTCCCCAGTACTTCTTACCTTCTATCATACTTTATCATTCATATATTTATCAGATTTAGTATTTGTAACCTGTCTCTCTTTTTCCCAGAATATAGCCCTATAAGGTCAAGCACTTTAAATTGTTAACTTGTGTGTCTCATGTGGCCAGGAGAGTGGCAGTAAGAAAGCAGCAAGTATTTCATTAATCACTCTCGTTGTTCTCTGGCCACACCCTCACCACTGTACAAAGTCTGTGGAATGAAGAAAAAGGTCCATTTAGATTCTGCACTCTCCCCTTCCTTACTCTATGATACCAGAATTCCCTTTGCAAATAACCCCAAATCTTTACACAGAAACTGTAATGTCATCTTTCTCAGTTCCATCCCTCAGACAGGAGACTGTGCCACCCATGTGCATATATTTAGGAAGGAATGGGTGGTCCAGGTATTGATGTGTGATGGGAAACTGTACATATCCTGGATATGTAGGCTAAAGTGTCCAAAAACTTTCATGTAAGACCTCTCATAATACAGGATAGAACTTGGTGAAGGAGAGGCTGTAGACTGAAGACACTTCTCTCCATCCTAACATACTGCTGAGGACAACAAAAGTTCTAACATTGTACTGAACATCTAGTTGTTATAAAGAGATATTTGTCAAACTGGGATACTATAACAGTTTATTTAGTAATCTCTATTTTGTTTATAATAAATAATAAAATATGTGGGCCTCTACTTAGGCTCTTTCCCCAGTCTCATAATTCTTAGGAATGATCATGCTACAAATAATCAATAGAAGGGTGGAATCCTAATGGAACAAAGGCAGAGAAGAATAGGCAAGGGATATATGGAATTACTCATACCTGGCATCAAATGGGGAATTCTAGGCCACTATAGGTATTTCTAAGACAGTGAGTGTCTTGGGGTGAAGAGATAAATGCCTAGGTTAATAGAGATGAGCTTAGCAGTGATATGCATTGTTTGTACACAGCAATTTGTTTAAAACTGCACTTCCTGGAAAAATCTAGCTCTAGGGATCTATGATTCCTCCTTCAACCACTGTTGTACTGGTTGAACTGTTACCTCTTTTAGTGCCCTTTTCTAGCTCTTTGAGCTCTTAAAGAGAGATTATAAATACAATCTGACATCATATGGTCTACAAAGTAAAATTCATTCATTATTTAAAAATTTTCTTTTAACTTGTATACAATAATTATTTAGTGATATAGGTCACAATGATAAATGTGGTGATTGAGGATGTATTATGAATCTTTTGCCTACAACGTATCATAAGATCCATCATTCCAAAACAGTTTATCATTAGCTTCCATCACACTCAGGAAGTGACTCTTCTTATAAAGAACTATAAAAACCCATTGGTTTATGCTGAGATGGAGAAACACATTTATAATGTCAACAGAGAAAACACAGATAAAGCATACTCAGGTAAAAGAAGAGGTTTATTTGCAAAAGAGTAACATTATTAGTAAGTTTTTTAGTGTTTATTAGAGGGAGAAAGCTTCCTAGCTATTAACTGATAAAGATGTGTCATTGGCATGGCATTTGGATCACATATTAGCACAAGCTGAAAATAACCTGCAAATAGTAAGGGCTCTAGAATGTGTGAGGGATATGAACCAAGAACAGTGCTAAACACATAAAGAAGGACCAACTAATGTAGAAGAGGATGCTCCAAGTGCTTTTATCTACTAGAAAAAGTAAAATATAACTAAGAACATCTTTGCATTTGCATATTACTAAATATATTTATGTTTGAATTAATTTTGTTGTAATATTTACATACACCTCATTCCAGGGTACACATTACTGTATTTTTAGAGACATATGTGTTAGTTTCATGGAAGGTCAAATTAAAACAAATAACTACACCTTTGTAAAGATTCTAGGACTGGAGGGATTTACTGTTATAACTGAGATTCTAGTGTCCAAAATAAGTCTCTATCATTATTCATTCTGTTTATTACCCTCTGATCTTGTAAAATAGTATGCATAAATTAAGTGGTAGCCTAAAAAAGATCTTTTGTTATGTGAACTCTGGACATTATTCCATGTTACTGCTGACAATGCATATGTCCAAGCCATTTTGAACAATGCCAGCCATAAGTTGGTCCATAGTAAATTTTTTTATGATAATGATAGTGAAGAATCCTATTCATCTTATTTCCCTTTCTCTGACTCTGTTAAATAATGTAAATAATAGGAAAAAATATCATAGCAAATCTCTCAATCCAAGAGGTGTTCCTGTAATCTTTGATATGTAGAGGAACTTATGTAACTGACGCATTTTAAAAAGAGTTATAGGAGATAAATACAAAATTCTTATAGCTAAAAGAAACACATCATGCCTTATTTTGGTCTCTGTTTTCTGGTATTCAAAATCACATTCTCTCAGGTATTCTTGTAGCCTTTCTGTGAATAAATATCTTGAAATATCTCAAAAGGAAACGCCAGTGCAGATCATGAGCTATGTGTACTGATTATAAATAAAAACAATTACAGTAAACAAATTAGTAATGGTAGGAGTGTTTAATGAGGGAAATGAGTAAATAATGTGGTTTGAGCCAATATTGGCAGATCTGGGTAAAAAGTGAGGAGATATCTAGAAGTGTAAATTACATGTTATAATGTCTGATAAGGCTACACAACCACGTTTGAGTTATCCATTCTTCCTCTCCTTTCAGCCATCAGAAAGAATCTGAGTAGCACAACATTTTCACTGTTTCAGAAAATTTTAAGAAAATAAAAACAACTTTTAAATATATGGACTTAACTATGGAAAAGCATAATGGTAGGAAATGTTGGCTTGTCTGCCAGGCAAAGTGGGACTCCAAACCTAGCCTTTGTGTGTACCAGCTTTGTGGCTTTGATCAGGTTGCCTAACCTCACTGAGCCTCAGTTTCTTCATCTTTAAAAAAGAGATGCCAAAATTTCTATTATAAAACAGTAACAGAGGTTGGAAGATATAAGAAATCTGTCTGACAAATAATAATATATATTTAACAGATGTTAAATATTACAAATATTATCTCTGATAATGGCCAGGCAGATGAA